ATAACTGACCATGTGTGAAAACAGGTTCAGGTAGGAATATTCTTACTCTGTCTAGAGTTTGTCCTTGTGATTTATTAATAGTCATCACAAATGCTGGCATCACGGGAAACTGTCGTTGAATCAATTTAAATGGGAGGCCAGTGTCAGATGGGGACAAATCAATTCTTGAAATCAGAACAACCTCTCCCACTGCAGATCCTGTTAATACTTCAGCTTCGATAATGTTAGGACACAATCTTTTGATAATAAATCTGGTACAAAGACCCCATTTACTATTAAGATTTCTCAATAGCATGATGATTGCACCCACTTTCAATTTTAATTTATGACACAGCATTCCCAAAGGAGTAATACTATTAAGAAATTCGATGGGAAATTTTTCCTTTTCAGCATCATCTGTGGAATCAATGGAATCATCACTCAAATATGTGTGAAAATCTCCATTGAGTATATCCAAAATTTTTTCATTTACTTTTTGAACGTGCTCATTTTTTGGACAAAGAATTGCATGTTCAGATATAGTTTTAATATTATCTATAGATATAGTATTTCCAAAGGTAGCTTCAATAATAGATCCATTACAAATCATTTCACAGGGGATTTCAATAATATCCATTCCTAAATGAAAACTGTTATCAAATTTGCCATCTCCAAGTTTTACTAACCATCCACTATAAGCAGAATCCTCTGATCTCATATTTGTTGTAAGAGACAACTTTCTGAAACATCCCCAAACACTGCAGTACTTTAAACTCGTTGTACTATGGCCGAACGCATAGCATGCGGTACAATACTGAGACTTTGTTGAAGATCCCCTCCAATTTAAATTTCTCTTAGTAATCTGTCTATGGTGTTTATAGCATGACTGGATGCCATGGTGCATTCATTAATAATGAGAAGTTGGGCCTTTTTAATAGTTTTAGCAACTTCACTGTTTATATCGCATCTAGAAGTTAAAGTTTCATTTAGTGGGATGGGTAATTTATATTGGGAATGAAAGGTCCTTCCACTGAAAAGTAAATGTGCAGCAATTCCTGTAGACTCTGTGGGTAAAACAGTACCACCACGACCTCTAATATAATGTATTAAAACTTTATAAAGATATGCCTCCACACTCTGAGGGCCGGTTCCTGCCTCAAACCTCACCCTCCTGGGAAACAGCTCAGGGAAGGTGCAGCCGTTTCCAAGACAACCCCTGCAGGACTGACTTCCTTCCAGTTGGTCAAGCCTCTGGTTGTGATGTTACACCCAGGGTTTTTATATAAATAGAAGATGTGTATAGCCTATATAATAAAATGATAATATGCAAATTGACCCCCAATCACGCCATCACAAGATGGCTGCGCCCACAGAGGAGGCAGAGTTCCCATAACAGAAGATGGCTGTGCCCACAGCAGAGGCGGGGTCCCTATAACGAGCCATAACAAATGATCAGCAGGAACCTGAGGCTGTGTGGTTCCCAGCTGGGGTGTGGGACCTGAGGCAACGCTCCCGGCACAGCAGGGCTTGACGTGGGACCTGAGGCCACGCCTCCCACCTGTTGGGGCTTGAACGGGAACCTCAGGCCATGCCCCCCCCACAGTGCTGGGCTGGGGGACCTGAGGCTGCCCCCCCTCTCCTGGCACCGGGCCGGTGACCCTGAGGCTACACACCCCCACCCAGCAGGGCTTGATGGGGGACCTGAGACTGCACCCTCCCTGCCTGGCGGAGCTTGACATGGGTGGTGCCAGCTGGGTCTGGATCTCACCCAATGAGGGTGGGGCCGGCTGGGTCTGGGTCTCACATGATTTCGAGATGCATGCGGGTGGCCGGGACTTGACTCTGGGTCCCCCAGCGTGCCCCAGACTCTGACAGGAGGGAGATTTTCATATACATTTTATTAATTTTCTTTCATCTCTGACACTTCTATTATAGAGAAAGGGCAAATAGCAATATTAAAATGTTTCCTCTAATTAATTCCCTTTTAATGTGCACAAATTTCATGCACCAGGCCACTAGAGTGTGTGTGTGTGTGTGTGTGTGTGTGTGTGTATAATATTTTTAATTGATTTTAGAGAGAGAAAGGGAGGAGAGAGAGATGAAAAAGTCAATGAGAACGAAATATGAATCTGGCATGCCCCCTACTGGTGATACAGTCTGTAACCCAGCTTGTGCCCTGACCTGGAATGGAACCTGCGATGGTGCTCAACCAACTGAGCCCACCCCCTGTGTGGAGAGGCTGCTTTTTATACATTTTATTTAATTTATTGATTTTTAGAGAGAGGAAGGGGGGAGAGAAAAACATCCATTATTGTTCCACTTATTTATCCATTCATTGGTTGATACTTATATGTTCCCTGACTAGAGATCAAACCACACCTTAACATGTTGGGTCATGCTCTAACCAACTGAGCTCCATAGTCCACTTTTAAAATATATATATATTTTATTGAATTTTTTTTCTTTTTTTTTTTTTTACAGAGAGGAAGGGAGAGGGATAGAGAGTTAGAAACATCAATGAGAGAGAAAAATCAATCAACTGCCTCCTGCACACCCCTTACTGGGGATGTGCCCGCAACCAAGGTACATCTTCTTGACCGGAACTGAACCTGGGACCCTTCAGTCTGCAGGCCTACGTGCCAAACCAATTAGGACCATAGTCCACTTTTTATAGGGAAAGCTCCTGCCCTGTTCCCTGATTGGCCATTTTATGAAAATGAGGAGTTCAAATTTGCATAGTCTGACTGGTCCAAATAGCACTCTCTGGATTGGTTAGAATCACATGTTCTGATTGGTCATTATGGAGTTGCTCTGATTGGTCCATAAAGATGCAAATGAAGAAATAGCAGTGCAGCTCTTAGCTCATTGGTTAAAAGACAATACCAGAAACTCCTATAAGGGTTTGTGTTAGGAGCACAGTACAGAAATCTAAAGGTTCAGTTTGTAGCTTTTCCCTAAAATGCAGTGTGCATGACAGGCCTCTGTCAACAATGGCAACTAGACTTTAGTTATCAGATTGTGCCCAGTTAACTACGATTCCTTCCTGGCAGATATATTGTGGTTTGTTTTTTTTTTTTTAATATATCCATAGTGGCAGAGCCTTTGTCTTTCTGCACCTAAGCTGGTATTTCTGAAGTTGAAGGTATAGGATGGTGGTTTTTTGGACCGTACCACCTCCAATGAGACCCTTTCTTGTAACCAAATTCCCAGTGGTATTCTTCTCTATATTTACTAAATATTTCATGCTAAATTCTGTATGTGAATCAGTGCATTTAATGCTCTTGACAACCCCATGGGGTAGGTATTATTCTCCTTTTCCTATGGGAACAACAATGAATTTCCTTAAATATCCACAGAACAGTGTTCAAAATCAGGAAAGTAACCCTGAAATGATACTATTATCTACAGACCTTATCAAGGTGTTACCAATTGTCCTGATAATATTCTTTATAGCAAAAGAAAATTCAAAATCATACAAGGTTTGCATTTATGTTTTAAACTCCTTTAATCTGAAATAGTTCCTAGCTATTATAATCATTGTCATTTTGTTTTCGTTTTTTTCTTTGTTGTTGTTGTTTTGACATTGTCATTTTGAAGAGTACAGGCCATTTATTTTATAGAATATCCCTCAGTTTCAGTTTCATCATACTTAGATTTAGGCTATTCACTTTTTAGGCAGGAAGACTACGGAAGTGGTGCTGAGTTCTCGGTGTATAATATGAAGAGGTATATACTGCCCAATAGTTTCATTACTGCCAAGGCTGACTTTGATTGATCAACCAGGTTTCCTCTGCTATAAAACTTCTAGTTGACGCTTTGTAGTTGTTTTTTAAATGTTTAGCGGAGCCCTAGCCAGTTTGGCTCAGTGGATAGAGTGTCGGCCTGCAGACTGAAGGGTCCCAGGTTCGATTCCAGTCAAGGACACATGCCCGGGTTGCAGGCTCAATCCCCAGGAAGGGGCATGCAGAAGGCAGCCAATCAATGATTCTCTCTCATCATTGCTGTTTCTATCTCTCTCTCCCTCTCCCTTCCTCTCTGAAATAAATAAAAATTAAAAGTAAATAAATAAATAAATAAATAAACACCACTCAAAGAGGATCACTATTAACATAAAAAAAAGTGTTTAGTGGAAAATGTATTTAGAAACCAAGATCTGGGTACTAAGTGTACTAATAGTTATTGTGGTGCCCTCTTGGAGGATAGAGCTGGGAAATCGATGAAATGTATACATCCGTGAGTTTATACTGATATCTCCAATTCCAGTGTAATGCTATAGGGTTCATTCTATCTCCCCTCTCCATATATCTTTCTTTCTTTTTTTATACTCACCTGAGATATTTTTCCATTGATTGATTTTTAGAGAGAGGGAAAGACAGAAATATCAATGTGAGAGAAATACATCAATTGATTGCCTCCTGTACACACCCTGACCAGAGCCTGGGCTGGGGAGGAGCCTGCAACCGTGGCATGTGCTCTTGACTGGAATCGAACCCGGGACCCTTTGGTCCACAGGCCGATGCTCTATCCACTGAGCCAAACAGGCTAGGGTTCCATATTTTTTAAAAAATATTTTTAAATTGAGTTTTATTATTTATTTATTTTTTATTTTTTTTTTAGCAGTTCATATTTCTTTTATTATCTGTATTATTGCTGGCGTGTCCTATGCCCTGTACATATTGAGGGTATGTCTCCCCCTTGAGGGCTGCAGCTATAGCTACACCCTGTATAAATGCTGGACTTACATCAGCACACTGTTTTATAAAATCATTTATAGTTCCTGTTCTGCGAATCAGCCTTAATAAAGCCTGACAGGTACTATTAGCATTTTCAAAAGCCAGTTGTTTAATTAGGATATCGGCTGCCTCTTCATTAGTGATTACTCTCTTGACTACCTGTATGAGGCGAGAAAGGAAATCCTGATACGGTGCCTCGACCTTCTGTTTAACCTCTGTAAAGGGGGTTGTTTTTCCTACTGTACAAGGTAGGGATTTCCAAAACCAGTTGCTGCCTAAGAGTAATTGTCACTGACGAAAGCTTGAAATAACCTGTATTCACAGGGGGGTATTCCCATTGCTGTATGTCATAATTGGGACCTCTTGCAACAATTCAACAAGGAACAAGGCAGCCCGCAAATGCAGAAAATGTGATTCATGAACCATAACTAGCAGGCTGTTCTCCGTATCGTCGCATTATTTGATCATGCATAAACTTCACAAATGCATCATCTTGTTCTGCAAGGTTTGTGTTCAGTATTTCTTCATACTCTTCTCGAACTTTCTCTTCATGTTCTTTCAACAAGCATTCACAGATCATCCCACTCTGCCTTAGGGTGAATAAGGGCTGTTCTTTCTTTAAAGGTGAGGATGTTCCCTGACCGGTTTGGCTCAGTGGATAGAGCCTCGGCCTGCGGACTGAAGGGTCCCAGGTTCGATTCCGGTCAAGGGCATGTGCCTTGGCTGTGGGCACATCCCCAGTAGAAGGTGTGCAGGAGGCAGCTGATCAATGTTTCTCTCTCATCGATGTTTCTGACTCTCTGTCCCTCTCCCTTCTTCTCTGTAAAAGATCAATAAACTATATTTAAAAAAAAAAAAGGTGAGGATGTTGCAGATGAAGTCCCTGGCCAAGCCGGTGCACGGAGGAGAAATGCATGTGCCTGTGCATCCGAAGTACAACATGGAACCGTCTGTTGAAAACAAGTCTCTAAATGTCTTCTCTTCTGCATGCGTTTATACTCCTGCTTTACGTTGTGCAGAATTTGTTCCGTGGTGAGGCGGGCGAGACGTCGCGGAAGGGGGCCGGCTCCATTCGGAGGTGCTTCAGCCGCGAGGCGGCGGCGGCGGGAGAGGCGGGCGCCGACAAAGGCGCACATCGCCGCCGCTTCCGGGCCGCCGGGCTCAGCAGCGGGTGGAAATCCAGAGTCCTTTTCAGATGGCCCCGCACGCCATGGTCGGGGCTCGGGCGGGGTGGAGAGGGGGGACGGGAGGGGAGGGGGAGGGAACAGGGGAGAGCGGGGACTCCAAGAGCGGCTGACCCGCCGGCTCAAGGACAGACAGGCGTGCGGGGGGGCCGCCGCTTTCCGCGCAGGGCAGGGCAGGGCAGGGCAGGGCAGGG